AGTACCGTCTCCACACGCCCACTAGTACCTCTGTCTCCACACGCCCGCTAGTACCACTGTCTCCACCGCCCACTAGTACCTCTGTCTCCACACGCCCGCTAGTACCACTGTCTCCACACGTCCACTAGTACCTCTGTCTCCACACGCCCACTAGTACCTCTGTCTCCACACGCCCGCTAGTACCTGTCTCCACACGCCCACTAGTATCTCTGTCTCCACACGCCCGCTAGTACCACTGTTCCACACGCCCACTAGTACCTCTGTCTCCACACGCCCACTAGTACCTCTGTCTCCACACGCCCGCTAGTACCTGTCTCCACACACGCCCACTAGTACCTCTGTCTCCACACGCCCACTAGTACCTCTGTCTCCACACGCCCACTAGTACCTCTGTCTCCACGCCCACTAGTACCTCTGTCTCCACACGCCCACTAGTACCTCTGTCTCCACACGCCCACTAGTACCTCTGTCTCCACACGCCCACTAGTCTTGCCCCACACGCCCATAGTACCTCTGTCTCCACACCGCCCACTACTACCCGTCTCCACACGCCCACGTAGTTGAAGCCATGAGAGGAGGAGGAGGAGAGGAAGAAGAGGAGTACAGTAGAAGGAGAAGAGGAGGAGAAGAAGGAATAGGAGGAGGAGAGAAGGAGGAGAAGGAGATAATAGTGAATCTTAGGGAGTGAGTGAAGGAGGGAGGGTGAATGTGTGTGTGTGTGTGTGTGTGTGTGTGTGAAACTACTACCATTACAACCACCACCCATCATAATCTACCACACCTCCACCAATCTCCCTCCTCCACCACCACACACCTCCCACACACACTCCACCACCACACCTCCACCACCACACCACCACTACACCTCCACCACCACAAACCTCCACCACACCACTACACACACCTCCACCACACACACCACTCCCACACACCTCCACCACAAGCCTCCCACTACACACCTCCACCACCACACACCTCCACCACCCAGCAGAACACGTTACCACAAGCAAATAAGCCGGCCGCTGGACCACAAATATAACGTTATAAGGAAAGTTGAAAGATACTGCCGTAAGAGCTGCCATCACTACTGTTACTGTACCCTGGTTGACGGTAATCATTATACGGGAGGGATCTGTCTCTCTGTCTCTCTGTCTGTCTTACTCTCTCTCTGATGATGACAGCAACTGTATGTTTATAAAACCTCGTATGAGTAAGGTTTGGGTTTTGAGGTTGAGTTAGGTTAGGTTTAGGTTAGGTTAGGTTAGGGTTGGGTTAGGTAGGGTTATAGGGTTGGTTAGGTTAGGTTAGGTTAGGTTAGGTTGAGGTTAGGTTGGGTTGGGTTGGGTAGGTTGAGGGTTAGGTTAGGTTGGTTGTGTTAGGTTAGGTTAGGTTAGGTTAGGTTAGGTTAGGTTAGGTTAGGTTAGAGTTGGTTGGTATAGGATAGGATGGTTTAGGTTAGGTTAGGTACTTTGCTGACCTGTACTAACACACTGGACAATGGAGGTCCTTAACATAAAAAAATAAATAATAAAATGCCCCCAAATTCTATATCAAATAGGCTAATAGTGTGTTAGTAATGGGGTTTAAACGCGCAGCACTGTTACTTTAAAGGAGCAGCAGTGTTACTTTAGAGGAACAGCAGTGTTACTTCACAGTGTTACTTTAAAGGAGCAGCAGTGTTACTTTAGAGGAACAGCAGTGTTACTTCACAGTGTTACTTTAAAGGAGCAGCAGTGTTACTTTAGAGGAGCAGCAGTGTTACTTCACAGTGTTACTTTAAAGGAGCAGCAGTGTTACTTCACATCTATATGTGGCATAAGTCAGCCGTCACTTGCATTACGGGGTTCAGTCTTGGTCAGCGCACTATAGGATGGGCGTAAAGTGTCCCAGCAACATTAACAACAGGAACACAGAGCTGATCCCGGGCATTAGGAACCTTCAGTACACAGAGAGGAACACAGAGCTGATCCCGGGCATTAGGAACCTTCAGTACACAGAGAGGAACACAGAGCTGATCCCGGGCATTAGGAACCTTCAGTATACAGAGAGGAACACAGAGCTGATCCCGGGCATTAGGAACCTTCAGTACACAGAGAGGAACACAGAGCTGATCCAGGGCATTAGGAACCTTCAGTATACAGAGAGGAACACAGAGCTGATCCTGGGCATTAGGAACCTTCAGTATACAGAGAGGAACACAGAGCTGATCCCGGGCATTAGGAACCTTCAGTATACAGACAGGAACACAGAGCTGATCCCGGGCATTAGGAACCTTCAGTACACAGAGAGGAACACAGAGCTGATCCCGGGCATTAGGAACCTTCAGTATACAGAGAGGAACACAGAGCTGATCCCGGGCATTAGGAACCTTCAGTATACAGAGAGGAACACAGAGCTGATCCCGGGCATTAGGAACCTTCAGTACACAGAGAGGAACACAGAGCTGATCCCGGGCATTAGGAACCTTCAGTACACAGAGAGGAACACAGAGCTGATCCCGGGCACTAGGAACCTTCAGTATACAGAGGAACACAGAGCTGATCCCGGGCATTAGGAACCTTCAGTACACAGAGAACAGAGCTGATCCAGGGCATTGGAACCTTCAGTATACAGAGAGAGAACACAAGAGCTGATCCAGGGCATTGGAACCTTCAGTATACAGAGAACACACAAGAGCTGATCCCGGGCATTGGGAACCTTCAGTACACAGAGAGGAACACAAGAGCTTCAGTGATCCAAGGGCATTAGGAACCTTCAGTATACAGAGAACACAGAGCTGATCCAGGGCATTACGGAACCTTCAGTATACAGAGAAAGGAACACAGAGGCTGATCGGGCATTAGGAACCTTCAGTATACAGAGAGAGGAACACAAACTGATCGACGGTAAAGGAACCTTCGAGTCACCTGAGGAGGCTACAAGAGAGCTGATCCCGGGCATTGGGAACCTTCAGTATACAGAAGGAACCTGGAAGCTGATCCAGGGCATTAAAGGAACCTTCAGTATACAGAGAACAGAGGCATTTGATCCAGGGCATTAGGAACCTTCAGTATACAGAGGAAAGAACACAAGAAGCTGATCCAGGGCATTAGGAACCTTCGATATACAGAGAAGGAACACAGAGAGCTGGTCCGGGCATTAGGAACCTTCAGTATACAGAGAGAACACAAACTGATCCAGGGCATTGAGGAACCTTCAGTACACAGAGAACACAGAGCTGATCCCGGGCATTAGGAACCTTCAGTATACAGAGAGGAACACAGAGCTGATCCAGGGCAATTGGAACCAGCTTCAGTATACAGAGAGGAACACAGAGCTGATCCAGGGCATTGAGACCTTCCAGTATACAGAGAGGAACACAGAGAGCTGATCCAGGGCATTAGGAACCTTCGGTATACAGAGAGACACAGAAATGATCCGGGGCATTAGGAACCTTCGGTGTACAGAGGAACACAGAGCTGATCAGGGGCATTAGGAACCTTCAGTATGCAGAGAACACCAGAGCTGATCCAGGGCATTGGGAACCTTCAGTACTGAGAGACACAGAGCTGACCCCGGGCATTAGGAACCTTCAGTATACAGAAGGAACACAGAGCTGATCAGGGCATTAGGGAACCTTCAGTACACGAACAGAACACAGAGCTGATCCGGGCATTGGAACCTTCAGTGCACGAGAACACAAGAGCTGATCCCGGGCGTGAACCTTCGGTATACAGAGAGAACACAAATTTGATCGGGGCATTAGGAACCTTCGGTACACAGGGGAGAACACAGAGCCAGTCCGGGCATTGGGAACCTTCGGTACCACACAGAAGACACAGAGCTGATCCCGGGCATTGGGAACCTTCAGTCACAGAGAGAACACAAGAGCTGATCGGGCAGGAACCTTCAGTACACAGAGGAACACAGGCCAGTCGGGCATTAGGAACCTTCAGTACACAGAGGAACACAGAGCTGATCCCGGGCATTGGGAACCTTCAGTGCTACAGAGAGAACTGAGAGCTGATCCCGGGCAGTGGGAACCTTCAGTATACAGAGACACAAGAGCCAGTCCCGGGCATTAGGAACCTTCAGTGCTACAGGGAACACAGAGCCAGTCCGGGCATTAGGAACCTTCAGTACACAGAGGAACACAGAGCTGATCCGGGCATTGCGAACCTTCAGTACACAGAAGGAACCTGAGAGCTGATCCCGGGCATTAGGAACCTTCAGTCACACAGAGAGAACGAGGCGATCCGGGGCATTACGGAACCTTCTAGGTATACAGAGAGAACGCAGAGCTGATCTGGGTGGGCCTTCAGTACACAGAGAGAGAACCTGGAAGCTGATCCCGGGCATTAAAGGAACCTTCAGTACACAGAGAGAGGAACACAAGAGCTGATCCGGGCATTAAGAACCTTCAGTACACAGAGAGGAACACAGAAACTGATCCTGGGGCGGCCGGAACCTTCAGTATACAAAGAGAGGAACACAGAGCTGATCCCGGGCATTGGGGCCTTCAATTCACAGAGAGGAACACAGAGCTGATCCAGGGCATTAGGAACCCTTCAGTATACAGAGAACACAGAGCTGATCCTGGGCATTAGGAACCTTCGGTAACATACAGGAGAACACAGAGCTGATCGGGCATTAGGAACCTTCAGTACACAGAGAGGAACACAAGAGCCAGTCCCGGGCATTGCAAGGAACCTTCAGTGCACAGACAGGAACACAAGAGGCGGTCGGGCATTTAAGGAACCTTCAGTCACACGAACCAGGAACACAGAGAGCTGATCGGGCATTAGGAACCTTCAGTGCTCTGAAGGAACACAGAGCTGATCCGGGCATTAGGAACCTTCAGTATACAGAGGAACACAGAGCTGATCCCGGGCATTAGGAACACTTCCAGTCTGAACCCAGGAACACAGAGCTGATCCCGGGCATTAGGAACCTTCGGTATAGAGACAGATTAACTTTCAGTTAATCAACATTTTCCGGAGACGGCGTAAATTGAGGGCGATATGAGTCCAGAATCCAGCAGATATGAAGTCTGGGTTAAACAAAGGTGAGAATGTAACTAAGGTGCCAAACTATCAACCAGGGCAGACTCATGGCTGATGGTTTACACGAGGATAATAATTTAGATTTAGGCGCGAGATAGGTTAACACACACACACACACACACACACACACACACACACACACACACACACACACACAGGAATATGTTAATAAATAAATAAGTCAGTATTCAGAGTTTAATCAACATTTTCCCGAGAGACGTAGAGTGAGGGGCGATATGATCCAAGTGTATGAATGTAAGTCTGAGTTAAATACAGGTGATGTAACTAAGGTACTTAAACTATCCAACCGAGCGAACTCGTAACGATGGTTTACACGAGAGAATTTAGATTTAGGCGCGAGATAGGTAATACACACACACACACACACACACACACACACACACACACACACACACACACACACACACACACACACACGGGAATAATTAATAAATAAATAAGTCGAGTATTCAGAGATGGCAACACTTAGTAAACCAAAAATGTTGCCAAGTAATAAATAAATAAATTATTTACTGGATGAGTGTTACCAGTGAGGGGTACTAGAGAACAGTGTTGTCTGTACTCTGCGTCACTACACACCGTCTGTCACTACACCCTACATGTCACTATACCCTGTCTGTCACTACACCTCGCCTATCATCATACACCCGCCTGTCACTACAACCTGCCTGTAATGCGACACTATCACTATAACCGCCATCACCCCCGACTTCACCGCCATCATTCCCGACTTCAACGCCATTATCCCCGACTTCCGTCAACATAAGAATGGAGGAATCTGCAGCGGGCCAATTGACCCATACTGGCCAGTCCCATTTACACCCAACCCCTATCACTCATATATCCATCCAACCTACAGTATGTTTGAAGCTATCCAGTGTGTTCGAGTTAATGATGATGTTTGGCAACTTTTTCCACTAATCCGTTACTCTATTTCCAAACCATGTTTACCTATCTCGCGCTTAAATCTAAATTTGTCTTATTTTAAACTATTGTTACAGTGTCGCTCCTGGTTGGATAGTTTGAGTACCTTTGTTATATCACCTTTGTTTAGCCTTGACTTCCATGTACACACCTCGATCATATCGCCCCTCACTCGTCTCGAGGGAGTGCAAATTAAGATGCTTTAACCTGTCTCTGTACTCAAGGTTCCTAATGCCCGGGATTAGTCTTGTCATTCTCCTCTGAATACTTTCTTGGGATTCTATATCCATTCTGCAGTTGGGTGACCAGAACTGAACCGCGTAATCCAGGTAAGGTCTCACAAGCGCAAGAAATTGTTTTAGGATGACCTCGCTAGTCTTGTAACTAACACTCCTTTGTATGAACCCAAGTACTTTATTAGCCTTGTTTCGAGCATTGTTGTCTTGGTTTAAGATTTCTACTTATCATTACCCCTAAATCTTTCTCACAGTCGGTATTTCTCTATAACATCGTTGTTCACCTGGTATCTGGATTCTCTGTTTACATTTGTCCACATTGAATTTCATCTGTCATTTATCAGACTATGCGATAAATTTGTTTAGATCTTCCTGTAGTTTTGCTGAGTCCTCGTCAGATTTAATTACACGCCCTATTTTAGTGTCGTCCACTTGTTTGCTTATGTTCTTGTCTGCTCCTATATCTATGTGTTAACGTATATAATAAATAATAATGGTCCAATTGCTTCATGGTGACGTCACCCCGATATCACCACCATTATTCCAGACGTCACCACTATAAATACCTCACGACTTCACAACCATCCTTCCAGACATCACTGCTATCACTCCCGCTTCAACGCCACCATTCCCGACTTCACTGCCATCACTCACGACTTCACCGCCATCACCCCCGACCTCACCACCATATCTCCCGACTTCTCCGCCTCGACTTCATCGCCATCACTAACGATTTCACAACCATCACTCCCGACGTCACCGCCTCCACCAAAGACGTCACTGCTAAAACCCCCGATGTCACTGCCAAAACCCGGCGTAACCGCTAAAACCCCGACGTCACGCCCAACCGACGTCACGCCCAAACCGACGTCACTACCACAACTCCGACGTCACCGCCAAAATCCCCGACGTTACGCCAAACCCGACCACCGCCAAAACCCCCGACGTCACCGCCAAAACCCCGACGTCACGACGACGTCACCGCCAAACCCCGACGCCACCGCTAAAACTCCCGACGTCACCACAAACCCCGACGTCACCGCCAAAACCCCCGACGTCACCGCCAAAACCCCCGACTTCACCGCCAAAACTCCGACGTCACCGCCAAAACCCCGACGACACCGCCAAACCCCCGACGCCACAGCCAAAACCCCGACGCCACCGCCAAAACTCCCGACGTCACCGCCAAAACCCCCGACGTCACCGCCAAAACCCGACTTCACCGCCAAAACCCCCGACGTCACCGCCAAAACCCCCGACGACACCGCCAAAACTCCCGACGTCACCGCCAAAACCCCCCGACAACACCTCCACACCCCCGACGCCACCGCTAAAACTCCTGACGTCACCGCCACATCACTCCTGACCACCAACACAACTCACCATCACTACCGACGTCACTATCAACACTCCCGACGTCACCGCCATCACCCCTATCACCGCCATCACTCCGACGTCACCGCCATCATTCCCCGACTTCACCGCCATCACTACTACCATCCTCCCGACGTCATCGCCATCACCCCGACTTCACCGCCATCACTACTACCATCACTCGACGTCACCGCCATCTTCCCGACCTCCTGCCATCACTGCCGACGTCACCGCCATCACTCCCGACTTCACCGCCATCACTCCCGACGTCACCGCCATCACTCCCGACAGTCACCGCCATCCTCCCGACGTCACCGCCATCGCTAGTGCCATCACTCCCAGGTTCACCGCCATCACTCAGACGTCACCGCCATCTTTCCGACCTCACTGGCATCACTGCCGACGTCACCGCCATCACCCGCCATCACTTCGACATCACCGCCATCACTCCCGTCACCACCAATACTGCCATCACCCCCCGTCCACCGCCATCACCCCCTACGTCACCGCCATCACCCCTACTTCACCGCCATCACCCCCGACGTCACCGCCATCACTCCCGACGTCACCGCCATCATTATCATCCCGCGACATCCGCCATCACTCCGACGTCACCACCAATACTACTGCCATCATTCGTCACCGCCATCACCCCCTACGTCACCGCCATCACCCCGACTTCACCGCCATCACTCCCGACTTCACCGCCATCTCCGACGTCACCGCCATCACTATACCCTACGTCACCGCCATCTCCCGACTTCCCATCACTCGACTTCTCATCCTCCGACGTCACCTATCCCCTCACGTCGCCATCATCGCCGTCACCGCCATCACTCCGGCTTCACCGCCACTCCGACGTCACCGCCATCACCTACGTCACCGCCATCACTCGGCTTCACCGCCCTCCTCGACCACCGCCATCCTCCCGACGTCACCGCCATCACCCCTACGTCCGCCATCACTCGACTACCGCCATCACCCCTACGTCACCGCCATCCTCCCGACGTCACCGCAACACCTGCCATCCTCTGGACGTCACCGCCATCATCCCACGTCTGCCATCACTGACTTCACCGCCATCCTCCCGACGTCACCGCCCACCCCTACGTCACCGCCATCATCCCCTGCGTCAGCCATCACTCCCGACTTCACCGCCATCACTCCCGACGTCACCGCAACACTACTGCCATCACTCTGGACGTCACCGCCATCATCCATACGTCACCGCCATCCTCCCGACTTCACCGCCATCACTCCCGACGTCACCGCCATCACCCCTCGTCACCCGCCATCACTTGTCACCGCCATCCTCCCGACGTCACCGCCATCACTACTGCCATCACCTCCTCCGTCACCGTCAATCCCGACGTCACCGCCATCACTCGTCACCGCCATCACCCGACTTCCGCCATCCCCGACTACCGCCATCCTCCCGACGTCACCTGCCATCATTGACGTCACCGCCATCACCCGACGTCACCGCCAACACCCCGACACCGCCAACACGCCTCGCCAGCCCGACTGCTCCATCAATCCGGCGTCACCGCCAACACTAATGCCATCATTCCCGCGTCAGCAAACCCCGACGTCACCGCCAACACTCCCGACGTCACCGCCATCACTCCCGACGTCACCGCAACCTCCCGACGTCACCGCCAACACTCCCGTCACCTGCTCCCCGACGTCAGCCAACACTCTGACTTCACCGCCATCGATCCCGACGTCACATCACTCTGCCATCCTCTCCGTCACCGCCATCAATCCCGACGTCTCCATCTCTCCCGACGTCACCGGCATCACTCCTGACGTCTGCCAACTCGACTTCACTCGTCACCCCGTCACCTGACTCGACGTCACCGCCATCACCGCGGCGTCACCGCCATCACTGCCGACGTCACCGTCTCATCCTCCCGACGTCAGCCATCCTCCCGACGTCACCGCCATGACTCTCGGCGTCAGCTTATCCGACGTCACCGCCATCACTCTCGACGTCACAGCCATCCTTCCGACGTCTAGCCATTCTGCCCATCACTCACGATCACCGCCATTACTCCCGCCGTCACTGCCATCACCCGGATGTTCACCGCCATCACCCCGACGTCACCGCCATCACCACGACGTCACCGCCATCACCTCTTCCGTCACCGCCATCACCCTACGTCACCGCCATCACTCGACGTCACCGCCATCACCTCCTCCGTCACCGCCATCACCCCGACGTCACCGCCATCACTCCCGACGTCACCGCCATCACCTCCTCCGTCACCGCCATCACCCTCCGTCACCGCCATCACCCCGACGTCACCGCCATCACCCATACATCACCGCCATAATTCCGACTTCACCGCCGTCACCGCTATCACTGCCGACATCACCGCCACCACTGCCGACGTCACCGCCACCACTGCCGACGTCACCGCCATAACCCGACTTCACCGCCGTCACCGCCATCACGCCGACATCACCGCCACCACTGCCGACGTCCCGCCATCACTCCCGACGTTACCGCCTTCACCCGACGTCACCGCCATCCCGCCGCGTCACCTCCACCACTCCCGACGTCACCGCCACCACTCCCGACGTCACCGCCACTACTCCCGACGTCACCGCCACCACTGCCGACGTTACCGCCATCACTTCCGACTTCACCGCCATCACTGCCGACGTCACCGCCATCACCCTACGTCACCGCCATCACTCCCCACGTCACCGCCATCACTGCCGACGTCACCGCCATCACTCCCTACGTCACCGCCATCACTGCCGACGTCACCGCCATCACTTCCTACGTCACCGCCATCACTGCCGACGTCACCGCCATCACTCCCCTACGTCACCGCCATCACGCCGACGTCACCGCCATCACGCCGACGTCACCGCCATCACCCCTTACGTCACCGCCATCACTCCCTACGTCACCGCCATCACCCTACGTCACCGCCATCACTGCCGACGTCACCGCCATCACTCCCTACGTCACCGCCATCACCGCATACCTCATAACTCCCTACGTCACCGCCATCACTCCTACGTCACCGCATCACTCTACGTCACCGCCATCACTGTCACTTCACCGCATCATTCCACGTCACCGCCATCACTGTCGACGTCACCGCATAACTCCTACGTCACCGTAATCACTCCCTACGTCACCGCCATCACTCCCTACGTCACCGCCATTGCTGACGTCACCGCCATCACTCCTACGTCACCGCCATCACTGCCGACGTCACCGCCATCACTGCCGACGTCACCGCATCACTGCCGACGTCACCGCATCACTGCCGACGTCACCGCCATCACTGCCGACGTCACCGCCATCACTTCTACGTCACCGCCATCACTGCCTACGTCACCGCCATCACTGCCGACGTCACCGCCATCACCCCTACGTCACCGCCATCACTGCCGACGTCACCGCCATCACTTCCTACGTCACCGCCATCACTGCCGACTTCACCGCCATCACTTCCTACGTCACCGCCATCACTGCCGACGTCACCGCCATCACTGTCGACTTCACCGCCATCACTCTACGTCACCGCCATCACTGCCGACGTCACACCGCCATCACTGCCGACGTCACCGCCATCACTTCCTACGTCACCGCCATCACTGTCGACTTCACCGCCATCACTTCTACGTCACCGCCATCACTCCTCACGTCACCGCATCACCGCCGCCGACGTCACCGCCATCACCCCACGTCACCGCCATCACTGTCGACTTCACCGCCATCACTTCCTACGTCACCGCCATCACTGCCGACGTCACCGCCATCACTGTCGACTTCACCGCCATCACTCCTACGTCACCGCCATCACTCCCTACGTCACCGCCATCACTGCCGACGTCACCGCCATCACGCCGACGTCACCGCCATCACTGCCGACGAACCGCCAACACTGCCGACGTCACCGCCATCACTCCCTACGTCACCGCATCACTGTCGACGTCACCGCCATCACTCCCTACGTCACCGCCATCACTGCCGACCGCCATCACCCCTACGTCACCGCCATCACTCCCCACGTCACCGCCATCCACTCCCTACGTCACCGCCATCACCCCACGTCACCGCCATCACTCCCTACGTCACCGCCATCACTGTCGACTTCACCGCCATCACTCCCTACGTCACCGCCATGACCCCAACGTCACCATCACCGACGTCACCGCCACCATCACTCCTGACTTTATCGCCTTCACAACCGACGTCCCTACTACCCCGACGTCACTGCCACCCCGACGTGACCGCCATCACCCCTGACGTCACCGCCACCGATGTCACAGCCTCTACACCGACGTCACCGCCTTCACAACCGACGTCACGCCCTCCCACGCCCTCACCACAATTGGCCGTTTCATGTACTGGAGGAAAGATTATTATATTATGTTGGGAGGTTGAGGTTAGGTTGGGTTGGGTGATGAGTTGGGATGGGTTGGGTTGGGATAGGTTGGTTGGGTTGGATAGTTGGGTTGGGATAGGTTGGGTTGGGTAGGTTGGTGTGTGTGGTTGGGTTAGGTTAGGTTAGGATAGGTTAGGTTAGGTTAGGATAGGTTAGGTTAGGTTAGGTTAGGTGGTGATTGCAACCATTACACCAAGAAATTCTGATCATTTTAAGGAGTGCGTGAAACCCTTCAATACACGTATACACTGTTACATAATACAGCCATACAAGATGCTGTATTCAGTCTGTAGTTAAGGTCGTGGTTAGCTGTAAACATAACACAGCGCGTGTTAACCTATATTTGGGCAGGAAGGCACCGAGTGAACACGTACAGTCCTCACACTACCTTACAGTAACATTGTCCTACCTCGTACACCAACACGTGAGGACAATGTCACTGCCTGCTGTACTGTACTGTATTATTGGTAATCACCTAAACGCGGGTGTGTAGAGATAGCGATAACCTAAGGAATTAATATGAGTCTGATGGTTTAAAAAAAGTTTGTGCCATTAATGTGTCATATATACTCCTTCCCCCTTCCCTCCCTTCCCCCTTCCCTCCCTCCCTCCTTCCCTCCCTCCCCCCTGTCTCCTGTTGGTCAGTTCTGTTGGTAATGCGATACGTGGAGGTCAGACACTGTTCTCTCTGGCCAGCTCAGCATTACGTATGAGCGAACTCGTAGCAATGGTTTTAAATTAGACAAATTTTGATTTAAGTGCGAGATAGGTAAACATTGGTTTGGAAATAGAGTAGTGGATGAGTGGAACAAGTTAGCGAACGTCATCATTAACTCGAACACACTGGAGAGCTTCAAACAGGGGTAGGGTGTAAACGGGACTGCCCAGTGTGAGCCAATAGGCCAGCTCCATTCTTGGGTTCTTAGGTGTTTTAATTGCTAATATATCGCGTCTTAGTATTTATTAATAAATGTGTTTTCCTTATAATTTGAGTTGCCTTTATATTTAATGTATTATATCTGGTCATGTGTGTGTGTGTGAGGTTTCCAGTTTTAGATTAAAATAGCCAAAGAATTCTGGATTTGTTTTCAACTACTGAGAACTATTTTACGTGACTATTATATCAACAACCTTTCCTATATCAACAGCCATCACTATAACAACATCATCACTATAATAACCATGACTATATCATCAACCACCACCACTATAACAACCACCACTCTATACCTCTGTGAAGCATAGGGACACTTGTTGCTGTGAGGACCAGGTGTTGAGGCGACCTGAGGTGTGTCCTTCACTACACCCCACCGGAGAGTCAGCGGGAACAAGGGAGGGACGGAAGGATGGAGAGAGGATGGAAGGAAGGATGGAGGGACGGAGAGAGGATGGAAGGATGGAGGGACGGAGAAAGGAAGGATCTAAGGGACGGAGGAAGGAAGGGACGGCGGGATTTGGAGAAGGAAGGATGGAGGCATCGGAGGGAAGGAAGGACGGAAGGATGGAGGAGGATGGCTGATGGGATGAAGGAAGTTATTATGGAGTGGAGTGAAGGAAAGGATGAGGACGGAGGAAGGAAGGGATTTATGGGACGGAGGGAAGAAGGATGGAGGGATTTGAGTGAAGGAAGGACGGTGGGATTTGGAGGAAGGGAAGGGGGATGGAGGGACGGAGGAAGAAGGGACGGAAGGATGGAGAGAGGATGGAAGGATGGAGGGATCTGAGGAAGGGAAGGGATGGAGGGCGGAGAGAGGATGGAAGGATGGAGAGAGGATGGAAGGATGGAGGGACGGAGGAAGGAAGGACGGCGGGACGGAGGAAGGAAGGATGGAGGGACGGAGGAAGGAAGGACGGAGGGTCGGTGGAAGGAAGGATGGAGGAATCAAGCAGTGTCCATCATTCATCCATTTGATTACGATCGAGTTTGAGAAAAATATTAATTATCTCACAAATACGAGTTGTTTGTTGTTTTTGTTTGTTTGTTTGTTTGTTTGTTTGTTTGTTTATCCCCAGAATAGTGGGTTTCAGGGGGCGCCATGGGTTGTGGGTCAGACTGGAGGGGGAGGGGGGAGCAGTTGCACATAATTTAAGAACAGTGTACAACAAATTCAGCCAGTTCAGTTAAAGATATCTTGACAGTTTTGCTCACCTAACGTAACGTAATCAGCAACCACACATCCACGGTGAGACACTGAGGGAGGTGATATATTTATACTGGTCAGCTCTATGGCCATAACTAAATCGTCTCCTTTGAGGTCCGGTGAGGGCCATCCTCCATGGTCTAGTGGGGGGCCATCCTCCATGGTCCAGTGTTAGTACAGGAGGACCCCTGCCAGATGGCAGATGAAATTCAATATGGACAAATGTGTAAAGTACTTAGTCTAGGAGATGTGAACAGAGAAACCAGATATCAGATGAACAACGATGTTATAGAGAAATCCGACTGTGAGAAAGATTTAGGTGTAATGATAAGTAGGAATCTTAAACCAAGACAACATTGTGTATTTGCTCGAAACAAGGCTAATAAAGTACTTGGGTTCATACAAAGGAGTGTTAGTTACAAGACTAGCGAGGTCATCCTAAACTATATCTTGCGCCTGTGAGACCTCACTTGGATTATGCAGTTCAGTTCTGGTCACCGTACTACAGAATGGATATAGAATCTAGAGAAAGACTTCAGAGGAGGATGACAAGACTAATCCCGGGCATTAGAAAGCCTTGAGTACAGAGACGGAAAGCATCTTAATTTGCACTCCCTCGAGAGACGTAGAGTGAGGGGCGACATGATCGAGGTGTATAAATGGAAGTCAAGGCTAAACAAAGGTGATATAACAAAGGTACTCAAACTATCCAACCAGGAGCGAACTCGTTGCAATTGTTTTAAACTAGACAAGTTTAGATTTAGGCGTGAGATAGGTAAACATTGGTTTGGAAAAGAGTAGTGGACGAGTGGAAAAAGTTGCCAAACATCATCATTAACTCGAACACACTGGATAGCTTCAAACATACTGTAGGTTGGGCGGATATATGAGTGATAGGGGTTGGGTGTTAACGGGACTGCCCAGTATGGGTCAATAGGCCCGCTGCAGTTTCCTCCATTCTTATGTTCTTATGCCCTTCTCATCCCCAACTCATGAGGGCATCGAACCTGGGCCACAGTAATAACAGACCAGCGAGCTATGACCCCACCCCCCCCCGCCATGTTTTGTAAGCACACTATTGAACTTCTTATACCTGTAGTAGAGGTGCGGTGTATTAGCTAACTGAATCAATCGTTAATTACAAACACAAATACTGTACAATATATAAGTTCTAGTGAGTATTGTGTTCTAGACCAACCAAGCGAGGGTAACAGACTGCCCAGTGGTTGTCCAACTGTCTCCTCTAGATTTTTGCTATAATTTGGTCAATGTTATATAATTCGGTGTAACTTGGTATAATTCGTTACAATTTAGTATAATTCGATATAATTTAGTCAAATCTGATAAATTAACTATAGTACCCGGACGGGTTTCTATTACACTCGGTCAATATTTGTATAATTATTCACTTATAAGAGAAACCTGTTTACTGAACATCTCGGTATGATAGTGG